ACATTTAATCATTCAACGTTTAATATGAAGTGCGAGCAATTTCCGGAGCTTGAAAGTCTTGTCATTGTAAAGGACATCATCGCCTTACAGTTTCTGTATCGTATCATCAGATGACCAATTAAGTGTTCAGTAAGAGAACCGAGGCTCATGAATATGATTTCACGAGTTCCAACGAGAGATCATCTGAATGATGTAAAGAATCGCAAGGAATTGTTCCGTGAGGATTAGTGGATGAGGCTGAAAAAGTGTTCCATAGATGTGGAAGTGGAGGTGGAGGTGTTGATGTGGATGGATTAGTTAACTTTATCTTGGTGACCCGGCAGTTCGTATCATCTTCCTAGCTAGAATAGACCTCGATTCATAATTCTAATCTGGAGTTCCGACATCGAGGTTCGACATGCGATTGCTTTCTGACAACACCTATACACAACATGTCTAACCCTTACCTAAGGACAATATTGAAGTAACAGTAAGGGGGTAGGAAGTAATAGATGTTTCAGATAAAGTCTCATTGAAACATTGCTTTTGTTCGATCTTATCGATATGTTCTGTACGTGTTACTGCACAGAGCAATGTTTGGTCTGAACTTGGGCGTTTGATACATCTGATTTTCGAAAAATGACGTTGAGTCATGGGCAGAGGGGGCTTTGATGATTATAGCCACGTGATACGTGCGCTTCTTTCTTGGGTTTGCTCTAGACGATGAGGTCTTGAGCTGGTTGCTCATCTAGCGCTCGGTAAATCTCCAAAACGTTGAGAGCTTTCGGTCCGGCACTCGTATTTCGGAGAATAGATGTCTATTTGTCATATTATTATGGAACGTACAGTATTCTTTTCGAATTATATATTTCTCGATCTTCAACTATTAGATTGCTAGCTGTATATATATACCTAGGTATGAAGCGATGACAAAGGAGCTGTCAATTGCTCGGTCTGAGCGTTACGGGTCGGTAATGAACCCTACTTTTTCCATTTGTGGTTGACTGTGGAGAGGGAAATTGAATTATATTACGTGTCTACGTATTCTTATTCACGATCTATTCGTCATGGACTTACCTAAGTCAATTTAGTGCATCACTGCGTTGGGTACAGAAGATATATTGATTCTAGAGCTCTACTACGGAGAATGAATATTGAGCTATTAGTTGTATCCGGATAATACGAGAGATGATCTCTTAAAACCCCACCTAACTATGTAGCTAATTCTACCACGGAAAGAACCCTTTGAAAATATGCGTACAAACTTTATAGATTCAGTCTCTTGGTATTTAGGATCTTCCCGGGTCGTTCACAGAATGATTTTGCCAGAAAATCTGGGGTTAGATATGATAAAGCAGGCTGTGGCTCGTCTGTGGTCCACCGGAGTCGAATTCCTTAAGAAACAACAGTCTCGCCAATCGTAAAGGCACTGACTGCCAAGAGGGTAAAACTCTTAAATTTAAACAGTCTGGAGAGGCGAGTCGTTCCTTCCGATGCTTTTGAGTCTTGACCCGGCATTGGGTTTCGTGATCCACAGATCAGCCACTAGGATTATGCCTGGATCGTCGTTTAATTGGTTGTCAAGAACTAGATGCCGAGGGCTCAAACTTCAAAGTCTAAGCGGGTCGCAAATCGAGCAAGTGTAAAGTATGCATGTCAATTGATTGATCTTTTTCCTCGGGGAATTTTTATTGCATCACTCCATGCCAAGCCGAGGTCCCTTTCTTACCTATTTTCAGGATGCAAGTCTTACGGAAATCTTCCCCTTGCATAACCGAGCATATCATCACAATTACCGTCACTACCAGTACAAAGTCAATAAACTGATAATGAGTCTTTCTGGATTTACTCCAATCAGATCTAGTTTGCCTCCGTTCCGCACCAATCTCGGGAATTTCGACGGAAATTAAGCAAAAAATGGATTTAAACCCCTCTTCAAAGTATCCACTTTGCTAATTCTCGCATCCATACATACCGTTTAGCTTCCCCAACTTGACATCAGAGCTCATACGGTATGGTGTCTCTGCACGGATCGTCGAATCCCCTCGAGTGCTCAATATGCCAAAACAATCTGAGTGCGGAAGTCGAACGTGCAGTCGAGCCTTCCATCCCCTCATATATGTGGAACTGCTTGGGTCTAAATCTTAAATTTGTACTTGAATGAAAATTCTACACCTGCATCTTATCATGATTCATCTTTTTAATGTCTGAATAGTTACTCACTACGAAGAGGTTGTTTATATCATGGAGGGCCGACAAATCCAGATTCTGACCTTGATAAGCGTAGGACTGTTCTTTTCTTGGTTGAGTGTTGGACTGCGATGTTATACGAGGATAGTCGTTTCGAGGACTTTTGGAAGTGATGATTATTGGATTATCATTGGAATGGTGAGTGGATCCAAAGACATATATAACGATGGCGTTTGAATCTCAAAAAAGTTTTAGCTAATCGAACTTACAGGTTGCGTATACTGTCGATTCAATTTTTGCATACATTGGTATATATTATGGAATTGGAGTACATGCCGCTCAACTAACTTACGATCAGTTGATCAATGCTGCAAAGGTATAAATTCTCAGTCACATCCTGTGTCGATTTACAATTCGTAGAAAGATTTTAACACACTCAGTACCAAGTTCTCGTCGAAATCGGCTATATTCTTTGCACAGCCATAATAAAAACGAGCGTTGGGTTGCTCCTCCTTCGCATCACTTCTGTCAAAACCTTTTACAAATATGTCATCTGGATCAGTCTTGCGATAATATGGATCTGGACAATTGTAACATTTGTTATTAGTTGTGTGCAGTGCAGACCATTAAAAGCGTCATGGGATCCATTAACTCCAGGAGTTTGTCTCGAACCCCGTATCATTGCGAATTTCGCATATGCCATCTCGGCCGAGACGATTTTCTTTGATTGGCTTTTTGCCTTGTTGCCAATACCGATATTGTGGGACATCAAGATGAGTTTTCGTTTAAAGTGCTCTATTATGGTTATTTTGAGTTTGGGAATCGTGTAAGGAAACAAATCGTCGTCTTTATTATTTGAAGGAAACTGACATGAAGCTTTGTCTTAATAGTGCAAGTGCTGCTACGATCATTCGTGTCAAGTATCTGGTGGCTTTTCTGAATGTTACAGATGCATTGTGTAAGTTGCTCCTTGCTAGCGTTTTCATTCAGCCTAGCAATACACACTTAAGTTCACTTCATCAACTAACATCTCATCTCCCACAAAAAGATTCTATTACTCCCGTTTTCATCTGGTCCACGATTGAGATTGCCCTCGGCATCATCGCTGCATCAACCGCCACTCTCCGTCCTCTTCTTCGCAGCTGGAAACTCCTTGGTTTCTCGAGCGAACACGACTCAGATACTGAACCTGGAGGCCCACGATCGGGCTCTTGGAGTGGATTTAAGAGAACTCCTCGTGGTGGGAGTGACCTAACTACCAGTCATCAGTCGAATGAATTAACTCTGGGGGATACTATTCATACGCAATCTCCGAATCTTAAGACAGTCACGAGTTGGAGTGGTAGAAGTGGACACAGTGAGGAAGGGATCTTGAGGAGTCCGAATGGAAGATCTGCCGATAATGAAAGGAAAGGGGAAGGGGAAAACGAGGAATATGAGTTAGCTTCAAGGCCGGATGAAGGAATTGTGAGGCGGACGGAGATTCAGATTGAGTACGATGAGAGGATGAATTATTTGGGAAGAGACATGGTTTGATTTGTATACTAATGTTCATGATGAAATGTACGATATTTTGTATAATGATGGCGTTGGTGGATATGGGCATGGGCATAAAGGGAAGAATACTTGCGTATCAAAGTTTTGATTGAAGGAGACCAACGAAATATACCCCCAAAGTAAACTATATATTTATATATAGCAAGTCTTATATTTCTTCAACTTTCAACTTCTTAATAGTCCTGAGTCTTTTTCGTCCATTGATCTTCAAAGTCAAGAATAGTTTCCTCGATGTCATTTTTTAAAGCTACAGGAATTAATCAAAAGATATACAGCTTTCACGGTCGATGAAAGTTCCTGCGGAGGAAGTAAAAGATCTTTCAAGAATCCCTCTCGCTAACCCCAGTTTTGTAAAATTAATTGATTTGCTGCTACTCTGGTATCTCTGTAATTGGTGCGCTTATTATAATACATCGAATGATTATTATAGTAATTCTTTTCTAGTGAGATTTTTTGCTTCTGTCTCATTCTCTAGTTTTTGAGGGAGTTTCGCAATTAGTTAGCGATTAGACTTATTCTATATTCCTTCTTTCTTCTTTCTTATATACATCTATTAATTTGATGAATGGGACGTTAGTTTCTTAAGAGTGATTAAAACTTTGAATTTAAAAAATTCCATACATACTGTACTCGTCGTATGTTTCCCTTCGTTCATTTTCCCCTCTTGCTGATAAAACGAGTAAGAAGTTTCAAGCGAATGTAATCACATCCGATAATTCATTAATATTAGCATAGCTTAGAGAATTTTAGGAACATATACGTATTCATCTAGCATAACGAATTTATCTCTAACTCATTATAATATATCTATAATGATTACTATCGTACCTTCCTATTCTGAAAACTCCAATATTCCCCTACAATTGCTACCTAGGTAGTATTTGATTACACCCAACCCAAGAATTAAAATATCTCAGAGAAAAGACGAGAATTCCCGTGGTTGATTGATTAGTATTCTCTCAATGCTACAGATTTCAGGAAAAATTCTCGCTAATATGTATCATTCATCAACTCCAAACAACAAAGCCATCAATCTATCTTCTCCCATCAAATGCGGCAAGATCTCTTTGTTCCCTATGGATTTTCTTGCAAATCAAAGTGTAACAAAGCTGATACATCAATTTTCTTTCAGCATTATCAGTAGCTCATAGCATTCTCCAAGCTATTAACCACCTACTCACGATCGCGATTCCAATTCCAATCACACAACATGTCATCCAACTCTCCAACCCCCCAAATAACATCCATTCATCCAACCCAAATCCAACCAAACCATGCAGCAAAAGCCAACACCCAAACCTCCATCACATCCCAATCTCTCCCGTCTATTCATTTTAAGCAATAGACTTAATTACTGCTACCTCTACCTCTCCCTAATCGTCACCATCTACACCCAGCTTCTAAAAAACAACACGTCGCTAATCGGGGGTACTCCACTACCTCCGCAGGTGATCCCACTGTTGGGAACCCTCCAGGAGATATCCAGACGTTTTCTAGAAGGCATAGGTCTATGGAACAATCCCGCCCCCGAACCCCCACCAAAACCCCCACCCCTTCCTCCACCACCTCCCTCCGAAAATCCCGATGACCAAGCCCCTCCAGACCCAGACGAATCCCCCCCAGACGATGAATCATCCGACAATTCTTCCCACCACTCCTCCCAAGACACACCCAGCCATTCCTCCTCTTCGGACTCAAACTCAGGAGCCGTCCACACCCCCCCTTCCCCGCCCCAGAAATCCTCGCTCTCAAAACACGATATCCGTGAATCTGAAGAACGACTAGCGCATTATTATCAATCGTTGAAGAAGGATCCGAAGACTATTAGACGGAATAAGTGGAGAGAAGATCCGAGGTTGGGGGGATTCGAGAATCAGGTTTTTGAGGGGATATTGGGGGTTGGGGGGTTTGGGAGTGTTTGTATGTTTTTTTCTTTTCTTTGATGCGTTTTATTTTATTTTATGAAAACAGAGGGGTGGGTTGAAAGGAGAAGTTTATTTCCTTGAGTCTAGGTGAAAAAGAGGGAATTTGAGTTTTGGAAAAGAAGGGATGAGATGATGTTCAGAAAGGGAGCATTCTCGCTACCCCTATCCTATCCCATGCCATTCCCAAATAATCCCACCCCAAAACCCAGAAGCTAACATCCTCCCCCAATCCCAGATCTCGTCCTCAACACCCTCACCCAAAAACGATACGCCCTAAAACTCCAATCCGAAACCACCGACCAACGTCTCTCGCGCCGCAAACGCGAAAAGCCCTCCACTCCGGACACCCCACCCGACCCCCTCTCGCACACACCCCCCATCACCCCCTCCTCCGAAGCAACCATCACCTCAGCCAGCCTCATCGCGGCCCGCAATCTCCTCTCCAAACGCTACCGCGAAAATCGCTGTTATCTGCAATACATCAAATCCGGGCACCCGAACATCTGCGCCCTCGACGCCTTTCTCGATTTCACATCGCAATTCGGGCCCGTGGAAGAACGCGGCATCGTCATGTTCGCCTCGTACTACGAGTACTGCGACGGCGGCGATCTCTTCCGCATTCTCAACGGCTATCACGAAGGACATCGACGTCTGGACGGCGCGCGCGACGAAAGACAAATGATCCATCTCGCTAACCTAGGGCGGCGCATGCGCAGGGAATCCCTGCTCCCTCTCCCTTCCGTAGCAGAACGTCGATTCCCCCCCGAACTCTTCCTCTGGCACATCTTTGACCAGCTCATCTCCGCAATTCTCTTCCTGCACAATGAACATCCCGATTACAATACGCGTCCCGAACATAAGAATCGTGCTATGGTCATCACCATGGATCTCGCGCCGCAGAATGTCTTTCTGCAATGGCCGGCCCATGCGATTACCCCGGAGCAGCGACAAAAGGTATACCCCAATATCAAAGTTGGGGATTTCGGGACGGCGAATTTTCTCCCGCCGGGGGGACGCATTCCTGCCGAAGAGGGCATGGAGGCGGAGACCCCGGATAAAGAATTCTATGATGCGCGGACGGATGTGTGGACGGTGGGGTGGATGATATATCAATTTGCGACGCGTGTGCAAGCTGGTGCGCCGAACGAGAATATCGAGAGGATGTATAGTGCGGAGTTGAATAAAGTGGTTCGGGCTGCGACGAAGAAGAATCGGGAAGAGAGGATTGAAGAGAAGAAATTGGGAAGGCTTCTTCAACAAGGGTATCAGCAGAGGATTCCGCATATGTTTAAGACGCTTCCTGATTGGGCGATATCGCAGGAAAATGTACTGAAGTATCGATTTTCAGAACGGCATGTGAAGGAATTATGCGAGCGGGATTGGAATTTGAAGATTGAGGAGGAGGCGGAGGCAGAGGAGGAGGCGGAGGTGGATGAGCAGAGAATATTTGAGTTGATGTTGTTGGTGAAGGAGAGGAAGTTGAGGTTTGGGATTGAATTAGAGGAGGATGAGGAGGATGATACCCAGCATCCAGTGTGGATACAGGGCTTGAAGGATGAAGAGCCGGAGCGGTATGCGGAACTTTTGGCGGAGGCGAGGATAAAGGTGCCGAGTCCTGAGGTGCCGGGTCCGGGAGAGAATGAGTGAGGTTTGAGATGAAGTTGTGAGATAGGCGTTTGATATGTATTTTGTGTGTATAAAACTTTTCTAACAGAGGCTTGATAATCCTGACGAACCACTTCTGGAAACAATTTACACGAGCTGAAAAGTTCGAATGCTAATACGTCGCAAGATACACATGAGTTCTAGTATTAAATGCCAGGAGTAAAGTTGATTCTGGTTTAACGAAAATATGTTAGGAAGAGAAGCAGGGAGATACTCAATACGTGTGAATAAGAATCATAACGTAGGTATTTTCATGGGGGGGGGCAAAGATCTCATAAAAATATGTATTCACAGTTGCATCATCAAATTCAAGATGAAAAGAAACTAAATAATGAATATGGAAATTTATTAGAAATCTATGTCTCTATTCCATTTCGAGTCGTGGTATCGTTATTCATCCATCCATCCATCCGTTCATTTGATCTCATTTAATAAAGAGAAGAGAGAAAATCCATCCAGGCCAATTGCTAGTAAAAAGCGCGTATATACAGTGAACAATAAGTTTCATCTATTAAGATGTTCATAATCCCATCCCAAACACCCCAAACCATCCCATTTCACCTTTCCCAAAGTTTCATTAACGACGGTGGAAATCTTTTAGATGGTTTCCTTTTGCTCAACACTCATCACTTTATCTCCATCATAATGAACCTTTTCTACCACACCACCTGCAGCACCACCCACAAATTCAGCTGCAACGACATCCTTGACTCTCATGATATGTCTTCCGTGTCTAATCCAATGGAAAGTAACATATCCCAATACATAAATGAATCCAACCAATGGAACCACATACGAGATTCTAGTGCCGGCAGAATCGGCAATGGCACCTTGAATAGGAGGGAAGACAGCTCCACCAGATACACCCATAACGAGGATACCTGCACCACGACGAGTATGACGACCGAGATTGGCAGTACCCATGGTGAAGAGAGTAGGATACATAGGAGCCTCGAAGAAGAAGAGAAGGATGAGGATAACCACAGCGCCATTTCCGTGCCACGCAGCTACAACGGCTGTGAAAGCGATAGCGAAGGCGGAGTAGATGATCATGAGGAAATCAGCTTGGAAAACGGTTGCGAGAGCAGTGGCGATGAATCGACCAACGGTGAAAGTGATCAAAGCGTAGGAGAGCATGTTAGAAGCCTGGGAGGAAGAGTAAGATGCATTCTCGGTAGCGTAATTGATGAAGAATGATGCAACAGTGACTTGAGCACCAACATAGCAGAATTGAGCAATGAAGGCGAAGATCATGTTGTATTGCTTATAGATTGGTCCTTGGCCGATTTCATGTCCAAACTCATCGAGGGCCAAGTTCTCAGTCTTAACGGTGCTGGATTCGAGCATTTCTTCGGAAACTTCAGGAAGTTTGGCGACGAGGAAGAGAACGGCGATGGCGGCACCAGCGCATGCAACTGCCAGATAGACGAACTGAACATTGGTCAAGTTGTGAGCATTTTCGCCTGAGAAGAAGTATTTTCCGGCAATCAATGGACCGATGAATGAAGCAACTCCATTCCATGATTGACAGAATTGAAGACGAGCTGATGCAGATGCTGGGTCACCGATAACAACGGCATAGGAATTAGCGGCAGTTTCGAGAGTAGCGAGTCCACATGCGATGACCAATGTACAAGCACAGAAACCACCAAATGAAGCAATTCTATTTTCGTATGTAGAAAAATGAGCAGTTGGCCTGGATTTTATGTTAGCTCTGATTCGAGTGGTACAACGTTGTGAATCGATGCCAAAACTTACCAAAACATAATGGCACCAAGAGAGTAAAGTGAAAGACCCATCAAGATGGTAATCTTATAACCCTTGCGCTTCATGACTTCGGCGGCAATAGGAGAGAAGAGAAGATAACCGCCACCGAAGTAAACGACTTGAAGACCGGTAGATTGAAGCTTGGTGATGTCAAGAACTGTTTGGAAATGCTTATTGAGCACATCGAGTAAACCATAAGAGAAACCCCATAGGAAGAAGAGGGAAATGACGAGGGAAAGTGGAAAGATGAGAGCTTTTCCACGGAGGAAACCCGTTGAAAGGGGGGTGGTGGAAATTGGAATTCCACCGGCCATTGTGAAGGGATTGAAGGGAAGTGTTGTTGTTGAGGTTGTTGTTGTTGTTCTTGAGGTGAAGAGAATGGAGAGAATAAGAATGAAATTCTTCTATAGAGTATAGAGAGAATATGAAGTTCTTATTGGAAAGAGAGAGGATGAATTAATTGATGATGGCGATGTTGTTGTTGCTGTTGTTGTTGTTGATGATGTTGTATTTAGAAGCTGGGTTACTCCATCTTTATAGGAATTTCCCAAGTTGTTGAACTTCCCCAAACCCCAGTCTCCATTCAATTACCCCAGACCCATCATGCAACCCACTCACTCATCCACCTCCATCTCCCACCGGAGATATCCATCATTAGACCTTGAATAATTTGATCCAATCAAGTACCTAGACTGAATCAATCTGATTGCATAAGGGGATCCACACTTTGGAAATATCAAATTATTCAAATGAGATCAAAAGTCTGAGTGAATGTAATCTTACCTAGCTCGGCCTAGACACGATGGTTACTATTGTCGGTACCATTGAATCACACATATCCCGTATTCCTAGTATATCGGTAAATACCTCGATACCCACCTAGCGAGTCTAGGTCGACAGACAGATGTTTTGACCGTCTACGTTTCTTAAATACGACTAAGCTATCTTCATACTTTGGTACACGATCCCGTCTCAGAAAATAGTTTTTGACTTGATTTGATTGGCTACTTTGCCGTCGATTCTTCCATTTGAAGGGCGATATACTTACTACGCAGTCGAATATTTTCTAGTCGTTTTAGTCGCTCTAGTCGTTTTAGGACGCTCCGAAAATATGACCGAACCAGGAAAGTCCCGCAGTCGATCGATTGAAGAAGTGTGAAAGGTGTGAAAGGTGCGAGGAAAAGCTGGGAAAATCTGGAGAAGCTGAGAGAACTATCGTAATGCAAATGTAGAGAAGCTCAAGGAACTAAGGCGAATGTAGAAAAGCTTCATGTGAAAGCTTAACCATTTAGCATGATTTCCTCAACACATTTACCCGGACCAATCCTTCCATTGGATCAAGTTTCTTCTTCTCCATGCTATCATCTACATCGTACATCATCTTCCCAGTCTCATGGCCCTTGTTGTCGGGGTTATTATGGATCTTGGAGGTATCGAGCTGTGGTACTAAGATGTATTTCCAACCTCAAATGCTTCATTGATCAAAGGGGAAATATCCAGATTCGCATCTAGTCGTCAATGATTTGATTGAGATCGAGGTCAAGTGACCATGAACATGCAGGTATCCACGTATGTGTATGTGCATGAGAAGAAGGGCTAAGCCTGTTATGTAATTCCCCATGGGTAACAATCCGGTGCGAGGGTGAGGGTGAGGGGCAAGAGGGGCAATAATACCAAATTCCAAGATAGATCCACTTGTACACGGACTGAAGTTGGTGGGGAAGACCAGGAAGACGAGGAAGGCCAGGAAGACAGGGAAGACCAGGAAGAGAAAGAATGGCGCGGGGGATTTTCATGACCTAGTTGAAAGGAATCAACCAATAATCATTCATTTTCGTACACGACCAAAGATGTAATCAGCATCTTTCATTCTCACGTACTCGAATACCGGTATCTCCTCGGCTCCTCCAATCATTACCCCTTCATCATTGAATCCTCGCTGAATTTCATGCTGAATCTCTTTCAGGACTCGTGCATACTCGTGCATACATTTTCTGCATTGCGATAACATGTTCAAGACCATATGAAAGCCAATTCTCTAAAAGATCGATAATGGAAAGACGGACATGCCGAAGAGAATGGGAGGAAAATCATCTAATATTGTATCTGCATGGTATTTGAATATTTGAATCTAGACAACGCCCATGAGCAATCGGGTACGAATTTCCAGACCTTCTAGCCTGCTTCTAGCTCAATTCTAGCGCTGTCTTCCCCTTTAGCGGAGATTTAGTGCCCTCTTCAAGTATCTTTTGACGCTAATCATGGCACTTCATCGGCAAACTAGATGCTTCAAATTTTATCAAGCCTTTCCTTTCCTTTCCTTTCTCTCGCTGGCTGAACTTTATTTCATTCTACTCTCACCCAGAACAAGCTTCTCCAAGAAAAAAACACACTCATCATCGCTTATTGTTAATGCAATGTCTAAAAGGCTTCTAGAAGCCTATCAAAACTTCAAAAGGCTTAATGTGGTGCAACTTCCATCATGCCACAATCTTAATGTGGCTTGAAACTTCTTCAGGAGGCGAATACGATTGGGGAACATATAAAAGTGTTAGGCGACGAGATGTTTGAGGCTCTGTCCTATATCGGAACTTTATGATTGGGATACACACTACAATTAGTGATTGTGGCTTGCTTCAAGTGGGTTATTCATCACCATTGAAATGTCATCTCATGACATTAATTCTGTTTATGGCCTTATCCCATTTACCTACGCCTAATGATACACCAATCTTCGTGCTAGAGCAGATACTGATACTATTCTTTGAGCTTTCTCACAAGTATCCACTTCTTAACAACCTGGAACGAAGTCGAGACTCTTATTTATCACTTCCCAGATCCACTTACCCCCAACCGCTCAATTTCCCCATATCCACTATTTGCCCCCATCAACACATTCATGATACACTCCCCAAAGCTTCATCCCCTTTCATCTCCAGATGGAGAAGCGAGCGCACTCCACGAATCCACCTCCCTAGTGTGTGCTCACAGTATCCCACGATTCCCACCTAGTCAAACGCGCGGGACACTTGATCTGTGCTGGAGAGCGGAATTCCCATAATCCATAATAGGCCCGATTCCTCCAGACTCACCGTGTCTAGCCTTGGGGAAATATCCACGAAGTTGGCACAAAGTCTTAAGCCACCGGGGTGGATATTAGAGTTCAATAGATGAGAAAGAGCCGCTTCTAGTCTTGTATGAGAGTATTGCTCCGA